GCATTGAATGTAAACTTGCTCAAATTATTAGTACTAGATTTTTAAAATTTTGAACGAAGCATTAAGTTTCTTAGATCTTAGAACCACTGAAGTAAAATGAATAACGAGTTGTTATTTCTTTTTGACTAAAAATGAATAACGAGAATTATTAGGACATTTTGGTCGGAGAAGTCGGGCCATATAGTGCACTGAAATAAAGAATTGTCTCTTTATAGGACAAAAATGATTAAATGTCAAGGCGGATATCTCGTGAGTCTCTTCGTCTGTTTCTCCCGTTGACTTAATTTATTATTATCGCCACAATAATTACACCGTTTTCTTATCCATTTGAAAATAAAATATTTCTGTAATGTTTCATGTTCTTTTGGATCTGTTATTCTCTGTTTATCGTCACTTCTCTAGTACATCCATCTTCTGTTCTGTCATATTTATATATGTGTAACTTGTCTATACACGTGTTTGTGGAAGTTTCTTTATAGAAAGTCAACGGTTCTAAAAGACAATTTCAGTTTTGTCTGTGTTACTCTGTGAATGTGTAGCTTATATCGATCTATGTATTTTGTGTATTATTGAAATCTGTCACGGATCTGTTTTTTATCTTCTTCCGAAGGTCAACGAGTACCGAAATAATGGAAGCAAATGAAAACAGAACAATCAAGCTAGTACTAATATTATTTTGATTTTATATATATTTTCTTTAATATGTTAAAATAATAAAAAGAATGTAAAAAAGATTAGTCAACGTATATTTTAAGTTATCCCTTATAGATAGAGAGTGACTGAGTGAGTAGTACAGTGAGGAAATAATTAGTACTATTAAATTTACAAATGCTTAATTTGAGAACGATGGAATATCTTTTAGAAAATTAGTTAACATGGTTTACTGGAAAACATAAGACTACATTTTATTCACTGACCAAAAAAACCAATAAGACAAATTGATTTTCATTAACAAGTGAGTTATTTACTAACGAATGTGAAATAAATTTGATTCATTTGTATTTCTGTATGAAGAGTCCACTGTCCACATATATGTTGGCCAGAAGCATATAAACAAATATTAAGTCGACCTACTAAATATGATGCTCTCTCATGGTCTCAGCTGAATTCGATATTTAGGAGACCTAATGAATAAGAATAAGAGTGGAACGTAAAACATATAGTATGAGTAAGACTTGAATATTAGTCTCTACATAGGCTGCTAAATTTACAAATACATTTTGGTAACGAATTACTTAGCTCAGTTAGCCGTGTGTTGTATGAATGTAAAACGCATTTACTCTAACAACAATGTTGAAACAATAGTACGTATTATATAGAATTTTGTTCGTGTGTTACAGAATTCATATAGGTTTGTAACCAAATTTGTGTAGTTATGGGAGGATATGTTTTGATTGTGAAGAAACCGCTTGTCCGGACCAGTAAAGGTTAGTGGGCCTTTTGCTGCAACCCATCGTGTTCATAAAAGTTTCTCTTAATAGTTAATAATCTTTCAACCATTTTTTAGTTAAAAAGTTGTCTGGAGCTCAAAAGTAAAAACTCTTTTGAAAAGAAAATAAAGGAAAAATTTAACCTTTTTCTGTGCTAAATTTATAAGGCAAATAATAGATAGGTCTTTGTTGCACTTCGAATCTCCCTTGAAGAGATATCATTTAAAAACTCCCAAAAATGAGAGATTTCTAAATCCTTGTTCACTTAACTGATAGAAACCTGCTTTACCAAGTGGTGGTAGTTTTGGTATATATCTATATTAATTTTTGATTAGATTTTCATATTGAGAACTAAATTATTATTATTTGGTCAGTTTGAGTTTGATTTTAGATCCAAATGGTTAATACAGTGAATTATCACAGATGATCTGTCCATCCTTTGATATTAATTGGAAAATATTTCAAATTCGTATCAAACTGTGTAATATGTTTTCGAACTAATCCACTCTATAATACTAAATGCGTTGTTCCCAGAAGCCGATCAGATCATTCGATAAGATTTATAAAAAAGAAATCTACTTTTACAATTTTAATTATATAATAACTAACCTATTTTAAAAATAAATATCTTACTATTGAGATATCCAACTTTAAAGTTCAATCTTAGCAATTATTTTAATCATATAGAACAAAAACTAATTTTAAATGGAAGACTAGTTTCTAGTTAAAATTTGTAAACTTTAAAAGTCGAATTTTATATGGTTTATAAACATGTTTATTCAGAGCCGGTCCTAGTATTTTTGAGGCTGCAAGCTTAACAGGTAAAACCATTGGCTGTGCACGATTCCAAAGCTTACCCATAGAGTTTGTTCTAAGACAAAGATTAGATTTAGATCCCTAACAAATCTCAAGTTACCAACTAAGAAAGGAAGCTTTCCGGAAGCAGAAATATTAACTTTTCTTTGTGAAAAATGTTTTATTTAATATAAAATTCAGAATTTTAATTTCACAAATTATCTGTACACCTCAAAACCAATGTTTGGTTAAAAAAAGAAAATGAATCTACAGCCTGGCTAAACCAAATTCAGATACAAGACACAACAACATAGCTTTTCATCTCTCTTTCTTGCCAGCCTCTGCTTCACAAATCAGACTAGCTTACTTGGGAGAGAAGTTAAATAGAGAGACATAGACTAATTATAACCCACATTGATCTTTGTCATCTCTTAGTTTCGTTATCTGATAATTTGTCTCTTAGATCTTTAAGAGCATCAACCACTTCAGAATCAAGATTGTGTTTCAGCAATCTCCCTTGGAAAGATGTTGACCTGTGTGTAACAAAGAGTAGTAGTCTTTGTTGTTAGCTCCAAACATAGAAGGAGTTAAAAACGTGAAAGGACCAATGTAACCTTGTTTCCTGCATCATTCTCTCAACCTCCTTATGCATTGATTTGATCTACAAAACAATGTTTCACAAGATCACTTGAAAAGGCATAACAATTCACAAAAACATAAGAGAAAAAACAACTTCTTTTATGGAGCTTACCTCGGAAACCAATGCCTTGCTACTCCAAACATAAGCTCCCTGTCAAGAATCAGCCACCAAAATCAAGAACAAGATATAACAAGTTTTAACATTGATATGATTTGCAATACCGCTCCATGTGCTGCTTGTTGTTGACAAACATCAGATGTTACAACCCAAACCTTGGGGCATCCATCTTCTCTCAATGCAACCACCTGCCAGTATCAAGAACCTCATCAGAAACTAAGAAACATCCGCAAATAATTCTAGAAAACTCATAAACTTGAACTGTTTTTTGCTGTTTAAGTCATCATTTTTCCCTACCTCTTTTTCAATCCAAGAGTCGGCACAAGTTTCTCCTGAGAAGATCACATCAACCCTGACAAAAAAAAAGATAAACCTTTCAGAGTTTCAGAGTAAATAACAATGTTAAGACAGAACAAATCTGATTTGTGTTTACCCAGCGAAGTCTTCCTTGTGTGTAGGGAGACCAGACATGAGAGCATCAAACACAACCACTACCTTAACCTCTACACTCAATAACTTCAAATCAAACTTTCATTGACTGATGAAACCAAAACGCAGATTCTTCTTAGAAAGGCTGTACCTTTAACCATACTGAAGGAGACAAGTTCATCAACTAACTTTTGACGAGCAACATCAAGCCTACCCTTCATGAAATGTTTCTTCAGCTTCATCCAATACCCACATACATTATACCCATCAACAAGCAAAACCGGAACTGCATCGTCCAACAGACCCTGGTTCGTGCTGTAAAACCGCTTTCAGGATAAACACAAACACTCGTTCAAACTCTCAAAACATCAACAAACCATTCTTGAAACCAAATGATATGAAAAATTACTCAAAACAGTGTAATTACTAGTAAAGTGTGTTTGTAGGATCACGGTAGAGCTCGCTATCATCAGGTAACTCATCTTTTTCAGCTTTCTTCTTCCTGTAACTAGTTGCTGGCTTAGCCGTCCCAGATCCTCTGTTCTGAAACTCCTATATACAACATAACATAACACTCCAAGTGGTTAGAGACACAACTTGGTTAGGAAGCAAAAGATGACACTAGTAGAAACATACCTTCCACAGCTTTAGAAGCTGCAAGTTATGCTTCACATTGGATTTGATTCTTGGTGGTTCTGGCTCTGAGTCCTGCTGCGAGAAAAACAAAAACCATATCAACGGTTGGAAAATGTTGAATGCACATTCATATCCAGTACTAGAGATGTAACAAATCAATCATAAAATAATTGAGAATTATCAAAATTCATACAAAACCTATGCAATGAGCTTAATTGTCACACCAATATCAAATTAGTTGCTCCAAAATGCTAAGTAGAGATCTAAAAGGAACCAAATATTTGATTAAAATGATTGAAAAAAGTTTCAGAATTTCATTTAAATCTATGAGTTCTAGTTCACAGGATAAAAAGAGAGACTTTTGGGTCTCAAAGACAAAACCTTTTTACATAAAATGTGAGTAGACCTTAGATTGATGGTTCTTGCTTTTTCCTCCCATCTTCACAACCAGAACTCTACAGCTGGGGGAGGAAGAAGATGATGATGAAGACTGGTAGAAGTAGGAGGAGCCACCTCTCTGCGGCGGCGCTCCGGCGGTTTTCATCTATGGACTAGGTGGTGGATTCATTTCGTTGCAGAGTTTGAAAAGTCTATGAAACTAGTGGATAATGTTTTTTCTTTTTCCCTATCTTTTAAGAAAAATTTTTATTCGCTCTCTCTTCGTGACTTTTTAAGTGAGTGACGTGGAACTAACATAGTCACGATCCATCCATCAACATGTCTTGTAACCACTTCTGTAACCGAACCTAAACGCAAGCTGCAGCGTTTTACTACACCAAGACACAAGAGCATCACTGTCTCGGTGTGGTGCACACGAGAGAGATGCATTGGTGGAGTTTATTAGTTCAGTGAGTTTGCTGCTATTATTGTGTCCAAACTCTTCCCTGAGTTTGATGTTCACAGGATTGATTGGTCTTGGGATGGTTTTACTAAGTTTTAGAGGCCTTTGAGTGCATAAATGATCTTTGCGAGTTACAAACTCTGTGATCTTTATTGTATAATACAAGCAGAGTAACTTAGAAGTAAACTTGTTCATATGATACATCTGTATATGAGTACAAGGTACAAATATTATCATTGTTGCTAATGTTTGCTGTGAGGTTTTATTGAGCTGAGAATAGCTTTCTACTAGTTCACAGGATCAGCTGGTGGAAGCAGGAGCATCTGGCTGCTTTTCTGGAACTGCGTTTTGAAACGCAGGAAGGTTGTTGTATGATTGGTAACACTTTGCAAGTGTCGGGTACGGTTCCTGTAGATATCCATATAAATACACGTCTTAACCAAAATTTTACAAGTAGAAAAGAAAAGAAACCGCGGATATGGTGGTCTATGGTATCACAACAGGAATCACTTTGCATCTGTGTGAGATAACAAGTTCATGTTACCATATAACTGATCAAGGAAAAATGTCGTGTTTGTGGAAGAAGCAGAAGGAAAAGTACCATGTTAATCTGGAACCTGTTGATAGCTCCGTTGATCTGTGGTGCTAGAAAGAGATCAGCCTGCAAAACAATGCTTCATGAATTTAAAACTTGCCTACTTACTGGTTGTAATAGATGGCAGTATCTAAAGGGGCAAAAGAATCACTGAGCGTTGTTTCTCCAATCTTGGAAGGGAGTAACACAGAGAATTAGAGAAATACCAAGTAAACTTCATCACCAGTTGCGTGTTTTCCAGCGTAGCTCACCAACAGTTTCTCGAGAGCTGAAAGAGACATTATTACACAGGTGAGTATACAACTTTTTATCATACTAGTAAACATTAAGGAGATGACACGGATGTATTATATGTTAAACAGAGAAATAAGCAAAGACTTTCATACTTTATTTTAACTACAGAGTATTTAACTAAAAACATTTTTTTCAACATAATCTTGGATCATGATTTCATCTCTGTATCTTATTGATTTATTCCAGTGATGTAATGGTTTTATGATTATGGGTAGATGTAGAGATCTCATACCTGTGAATCCTTTTTTAATGGCATTAGTAACATAAGCAGTTTTCTCCTCTGAATTGACCTTTTCCTCGATAAACCTCTGTAATAAAAAAAAAAAGAAGAAGAAGGTAACTAGGTTTTGCTAAAGCAATTGGTAGAATCAAAGATAGTAACGTCAATCTCAGATCCTCACAGTGATACCCAGGTTTTGATGAGGCTGTATGCCAGAGAAGACAATACTCGCTGCCTGAAAGAACAAAACAAAACAATAACCATTCATTACACACTCACAATCTGCATAATAATATGATTAACTGAAGAGAACAGAAGCTTAAAAAATTATAAACACATGTAACAAAGCAGGATTTGAATCCGAAGAGCCAAGACAAGAGAAGATTGCAACAATACCTGGTAGTTCACAGCACGTTTGTGGAGGTCGCGAGGTAAGAGAGGTGGCTCAGGATACTTCTCATCAAGATACTATCAAATTAAAAGCAAAAGAAACCACAAACCCCAAAAAGATTGATGATGAACTCTTCTTTTGAATCTAAAATGTATGTGTGTTTTAACTAACTGACCATTATGATGGCAAAAGAATCAGAGATGACAATATCTCCATCAACAAGCGCTGGCACAGTTCCCATTGGATTGATCTTCTTGAATTCTTTAGAGGATCAAATCACAGTTTTTTTTTTTTAACATAAATGACTAATAATCATATTTTTTTCAACCAAGTTGAGTATGAAAAAGTAAACACCTGGATCGGATTGTTCACCCTTGAGCAGATTAACTGGTATATACTCATATTCAATCCCTAAACACAGTTCCAATTTCATTATAAGAAGAAAACAACATAGCTCACCAAAAAAAGAGAGCAGAATAATAAATAATTAGAGAGAAAGACCTTTGAGAGAGAGGGCTATACGGACACGATGAGCGCATGAGCTTCTCCAGTAAGAGTAGAGCTTCAACTTCTCTTCTCCTGAAGTCGCCTGATCATCAATCCAGAAAATAAATAAATATATTTTTGAGTTTAATCATCAATCAATCTGATATATATATGACCATGGGGGCAAAGAGTATTATTAAGAACATAAAGAGACTTAACCATTTGTTCAGTAAATGGTTTCTTCTTCACAGATTCAAAGGCTATTGTTTGTGTATTTGTCTTTAGTAGTACAGAGAAGAAGAGAAGAAGCGAATTCGGAGACGACACTGAAAAACTAATCAATTTTTTTTTTTTTTATAACTCAACAACTACTCTTCATTAGACCAAATCAAATTCTTACAAGATGGTCAAAAGACCTTCATACACGAAACTAACCACATAGCACAATAGAATACAGCTTAGGACTTGATTGGTAGAGCATTAGCATAAGCATTATGCTCTCTATTATCCAATCAATATTTGTCAAAGAATCATTTGGAAAAGCATTTACCAAATGCTAATGTTCTCCAAATGCTATTTGTTCAATGCTCTCCAATAGAACTTTTGCTAGAGCATTTGCATTTGCAATATATATATTTTTTTAAAAATAATTATATATAATTAATTTATTTTAGTTTAATAATAGAAAAAATAAATTTATATTTTTAAAAATTAAAAAAATATAACTAAATATTTTTAAATTATTTAAAAAACAATATTTCACATTTAAAATATAATATAATTTATATAATTACACATATCGTTCATTATTTTTAATAACAAACATAACATAATATATATTTATATATTATAATACAAACATATATATATATATATGTATGTATATTAATTAGACACTAATAAATAAATTATATTACATATATTAATTTTATGATAATTTTATATATGAATCATATACTGATATATCAATAAATAATAATAATTTATATATAAATTATATAAAATTTATTTATTTATTTAATAAAATTAAATATTTTTATATGCAAAAATAATTTAATATTTTTTTAAAAAATTAAATTTTAAATAATAATATTTTACATATAAACTATAATATAATTTATATAATGAATAATATTCTTTATTTTTAATGACAAATATATTATTAATAAATATTATAAATCTATAAATATATTTTAATATAAATATTTATTTTATTAACTATTATGATAATTTTAAAATTGTATACTACTACTGCTCTGCCAATCACTTTATTAATTTTTTTAGTGAAAGCATACAGCTTCTGCAGCATAGAGCTTCTGCAGCATACTGCTAATGCTTTATCATCTGTCGTACCAATCGAGGCCTTAGAAACAAATAACGTAAATATAATAGTCTTCTTCACTATTCTATATGGGGAGTTCGACCAAAAAAACACGAACTTTGCACGAATTTCCAAAAAAAACATGAATTCTTAGGCTGGCCAAAAAAACACAAAAATTTCATTGACTTTAGAATTAAATAACAAAGTTTCCAACAAATTTAACAAAAAAAATTGATGTGTCGTTAAGTGAGAAACGACGTCGTTCGTTTTACATGAATTTGAAAAACAAATCCAGAAAATAAATAAATATATTTTTGAGTTTAATCATCAATCAATCTGATATATATATGACCATGGGGGCAAAGAGTATTATTAAGAACATAAAGAGACTTAACCATTTGTTCAGTAAATGGTTTCTTCTTCA